TGTTTATTGCTGTTTGCCCAAGTACTGGAATAGTACCTACAGTTTACAAGATATTCATATTTGTGAATGATTATATTTTAAAAAGGCAATGGAGTGCTTGGAATCCACATGTTGAAACCCTAGTCCTCAATGCTATGATATCTGGAAGTGGGGTCTTTAGGAGGTAATTAGGTTTAGCTGAATTAGTGAGGTCATGGAGCCCCCATGATAGGAGTAGTGCCCACTTAAAATGAAGAAAGCAGATCTGTGTCTCTCTCCACCATATGAAGATAACAGCAAGAAGGTGGCCATCTGTACAACAGGAAGAGGACACACACCAGAAACTCACCTTGCTGGCAACCTGAACTTGGGCTTCTAACTTCTAGAACTATGATACATAAATTGTTTAAGCACCTAGTTAGTGGTATTTTTGCTATATCAGCTTGAATGATTATAGAAAATATCAAGAAATTAGCCTTAGAAGCCTAAAATATCTTACTTAAAATTCTTCAGGGTACTTTCCTTGAGCTCCAGATACAACCCATATTTTGTAGCATGGCACTTAAGATCTTTTAAAATCTATCCTAATCTATTTATGTATAGCTCCCCCTCATACCTAAATCTGAGTATTTTACAAATATCTTCCCACACGTAAGTAATCTCCATGTTTTTACTTACAATCTGTCTTCCCTCTGCCAGGAAAAGCCCTCTATACTACTACGACTGATGAATTTCCACTTATCTTTCCAGATTCTACTCACTCATTAAACTCATGCAAGAGGCCTAGGTAAGAACAGCAGATAAAAAGAGGGAGAGCTCTCCACCAGCAAGTGTTCAAACTGTACACCAAAATGTTGTGGGTTCTATCCCAGTCAGGGCACATACCTAGGTTATGGGTTTGATCCCCAGTTGGGGTGCAACTGATTAATGTCTTTTTTTTCTTTTCTTTCCTTTTTTTCCCTCTTCCCTTTTCCTTCCCTTCCCTTCCCTTCCCTTCCCTTCCCTTCCCTTCCCTTCCCTTCCCTTCCCTTCCCTTCCCTTCCCTTCCCTTCCCTTCCCTTTCCTTTCCTTTCTCTCTAAAGATCAATAAATATATCCTTTGGGAGGGCGTGGAAAGCTGGAATCTTTTCTAATGTATATGCTGGGTATTTTCATTCTGTCCTTAAACATTCTAAGTGAGATAGGTATTGTTTCCATTTTCCAAAATAATACTGATACTTGGATAGAACCCGGAGTGAGGCCCAGGATGTCTTGACTCCAAAGCTTGCACTTCTTTTTCTGTCCTGTATGGCTTTTGGGACAACTCATATTCCTTTAACTAGGATTGTATTCCAATTATCTTTACCTTTCAGTACACTGTGAGCTCTTTGTGAGCAAAGTCTGTGTTATTCATCTTCCTACCCAAATAATTATCAGAAAGAATAAGAACTTAATATACACTGGTGGGAAGTAAATGGTGGCAATTGTTTATAGAAAAGTTCTAGTGCTGAATTCCACATTAGATGTTTTAAAACTAAACTCAACCTATTTCCCCAAAAGTGAAGATTTCAAGGGTCCAAATAGCCTTGTTAATTCTGATTTCAGACAAGCACATGAGTGTGAATGAATCACCTAGTCCAGCCACTGACTTTTCAAAAGGGTACCATCAGCTTGAAACATAAATGAACTCTTTTGGGGGACTATTAAGTGATCAAGGATGCAGACAAAGATTCCCCTTGAACAGTAAATAGTGCATCCTGCTTTGTGGCAAGAAACCATGGCCTTGGAGAATAAGAGCAAAGTAGGTTTTTTAGTGTACTTCAAAGGATTTCCCATAAATTGTACAACAGTGAACAACACAACCCAAATGTCTTCATTTACAGAATTTATATTCTACTGGTAAGAAATAATGTTGTAGCCCTGGCTGGTGTAGCTCAGTGGATTGAGCTCAGGCTGCGAACGAAAGTGTCGCAGGTTCGATTCCCAGCCAGGGTACATGCCTGGGCTGCAGGCCATAACCCCCAGCAACCAGACATTGATGTTTCTCTCTATCTCCCTCCCTTCCCTCTCTAAAAATAAATAAATAAAAATCTTAAAAATAATAATTTTATAATAAAGTAGGGGGGGTGTGAAGGAAAATATGAGAGATCTGAACAGTGTTCAAAGGAAAAGCAAACAAACCAGTGTGACTGCAGTGTGGTGAGGAAGGGGTAGAGGGTAACTGGTAGGAAATGAAGTCAAAGACCTAACAGATGATGTGGGGCTGTGTCAAACAGACCATGGAAGTTAGAAAGACTTTGGAAGTTATGAAAGATGATTTCAGTAGTTTTGACCAGGTAATTAACATGATTTGACTTGCATCTTTAAACAAATTTTGTTCTGGAGAACAGACAGCAGTGGAGTAAGACCACAAGGAAGAAAGAACATTATGAGGGTATGGGAGTAGTCCAGTGAGTAACAGGGGCAGAAACTATGGTTATCAGTAAGAGTGGTGAAAGGTCATATTCTGAATGTAATTGGAGGCTCTACTCAAGATTTGCTATGTACTGCAAGTATGAGAACAGATGGAGTCAAGGAGGGGGATACTAGGAAAAACCCTATTTGTTTGAGAAATGAAGAGTACTATAGGGGATATTTGTAGATGAAATTATGTGATTAAGATTACTTCAAAATAATCCACCACTCGATCATTGACAATTATTGAAACAAGATGATGTGCACATGCAGGTTTATTAGACTATTCTCTTTTGTATTTAAAATTGTTTTATAATATTAATACTTTTAATAATTTTAAAGAATATTTATGGTTAGACATATTAAGCTTGAGAGGCCCATCAGACTTCATGTAGAGATATTAGATATACAAACTGTAGTTCAGCAAAGAAATCAGAGCTAAAAACTTGTGGGAATTATCAGCATATTTAAAGCCATGGGACAGGATGAGAATACCCATGGAGTGACTGAGAATAAAGAATAGGTCCAATAATAAGAAAGTGAACTCTCCAACATTTAGAGAAGAAAAAAATCTTGAAAGTCATTTTTGCCAGTATTTTGCAATGCATATTAAGTCACTAAAAACTATGTAACTTTGAATCAGTAATTCCATTTCAGGAATGCATAAGAAATGAATAGAACTAGTGTATAGAGATTATATAAAAGATTTATTATAAACACTCAGTAGGAAAATAGAAGGGAGGGAGGTGGCAGGTGAAATAAACTGAGTCAAACAATGGGCAGGCTTGAATACATTATAGAATATTCAATGGAATATTGTGCAGCATAAAAATGCCTTTGATTTATGAATATTGACTTTGAACCCTGCTGTTTTGCCAAATTTGGTTAGTAGGTCAATTAGTTTTTTGGTGAAGTCTATATGGTTTTCTATGTACACTATCATGTCATCTGCAAACAGTGATAGTTTTACTTCCTCCTTTACAATTCAGATGCTTTTATTTCTCTATCTTGTCTGATCGCTGTGGCTCTGACCTCAGACAAGGGTTTGATCTCCAAAATATATAAAGAATTCACACAACTCCACTCCAAGAAGACAAACAACCCAATTAAAAAATGAGCAAAGGACTTGAACAGACATTTCTTCAAGGACATACAGAGAGCCCAGAGACATAGGAAAAGATGCTCAGCATCACTAGCCATCAGAGAGATGCAAATTAAAACCCCAATGAGATACCACTTCACACTGATGAGAATGGCTATCATAAACAAATCAGCAAACAAGTGTTGGAGAGGTTGTGGAGAAAAGGGAACCCTAGTGCACTGGTGGTAGGGATGCAGACTGGTGCAGCCACTGTGAAAACAGTATGGGATTCCCTCAGAAAACTGGAAATGGAACTGCCTTTTGACCCAGCAATTCCACTGCTGGGATTATATCCCAAGAACCCTGAAACACCAATCCAAAAGAACCTATGCACCCCAATGTTCATAGCAGCACAATTCACAATAGCCAAGTGCTGGAAGCAACCTAGGTGCCCATCAGAAAATGAGTGGATCAAAAAAGTGGTATATTTATACAATGGAATACTATGTAGTAGAAAGAAAGGAGCTCCTACCCTTCATGACAGCATGGATAGAATTGGAAAGCATTATATTAAATGAAACAGGCCTGGCAGTGAAAGAGAAATACCATATGATCTTACCTATAAGTGGAACCTAATCAACAAAATAAGCAAGCAAAATACAAGCAGAGACATTGAAATTCAGAACAATCTGACAGTAACCAGAGAGGAGAAGGGGAGAGGGATAATAGAGGATAGGGCCATCAAGGAACAGGTATGAAGGACACATGGACAAAGCCAAAGGGGATGGGTTCAAGGGTGGGAGATGGGGATGGGTGGGGCAGGAGGGCCTAGTGGGGGGTGAAAATGGAGACAACTGTACTTGAACAACAATAAAAAATAAAGTAAATTAAAGGGAAAAAAAGAATGGTGTAGGTATAGTCTCAAAATTTACTAAGTGAGAAAAGCTGATCAAATAAAGCATCTTAGTTTGTTTTACACTTATTTGTTACACTATAATGTAGATATTGTGCACTAATGTTACCATCAGTAACCTAAAATGGTAAATGTCATAATATTTGTTGGTACAATCATGCAGTTTTTCCCCACTTTGTTTACTGGTATTTTGTAATTTTCTCAATAGATATAAAAATATACAAGGTTAATTTTAGGTTAATTTTTAAATAAAGCTCATTAAGAAATATACAAATGACTTTACATAGGAGCCATATTTGAATCAATCAAAAATTATATAGCCCTGGCTGGTGTGGTTGAGTGGATTGAGCGCCAGCCTGTGAACCAAAGGGTCACAGGTTTGATTCCCAGTTAGGGCACATGCCTGGGTTGCCAGCCCAGTCCTCAGTTGTGGGCACAGAAGAGGCAACCACACACAGATGTTTCTCTCTCTTTCTTTCTCCCTCCCTTCCCGTCTTTCTAAAATTAAATAAAATCTTTAAAAAAATTATATTGATACCATAACATCTGACTGAAATAACTATTGTTTTAAAATAAATATATCATAAGAAATTATTTAATAGTATATAAATATTTTATTTAAATTAAGAAAGATAACAAAATTACATATATTTGTTCCACTGTTTGGGTAACATTTCTAATTACAAATAACCTATACATTTTCTCAGGTACCAAATTCCAAGTATTTCAATGGTGTCATGAAAGTGTATTTTTCAAAATGTATGTATAAGCTATATTCCAAAATTTAATATTTAAATCCAGACACAATATATACTATATACACTGACTTTAAATAACCTGATAAATAAGTTATATTAAAAGTTAAAGCAATTTACTTGTCTGTAATGAAAGTTACAACACAACTTACCATTTGACACTTATTCAATGAACTACATCTAGAAAAATCACTCTGTGAATATCATTTATACTGGAGTACAAATTCACATAAAAATACTTTATTTAAAACATGCTCTATTTTAGAAAAAAGTTAAATGTGGGTCAAGGACTTTTAAACTCTTGTTTTTTTTTTTCATCAAACTGATCTAATTTTAAGTTTTTAGACCATTAAGTGTTATTCTATCCCTAATTTAGGTAATGACATCATTAACAAGGTCTTATTCATGAGCTTGACCTTAACCTTAAAAAAATAACTTTGTTTACATTTTACACTGAAAAGAATTTCAGCTTTCACACTTAAAGACCTATTTTACAAGTCCAATTTAACAGTTCTGCTTTTTTCCTATAATGCTTTTTTATTAGATAAAATCCTGTTTAGGTCAATACTATGGCTCTAAAAGCTTCTATATGTATTTTATTAATATCTGACTCAAATGACTATATTCCTATAGAAATATTATATAAATACCTTTTCTTTAAACTGCTTATTTCATCTTGGTTATAAAAATGCCCAAATACTACATTGCTAAAATTTTTTTCTTTCTTGGCTTTGAGCCACTATCTCAACATCTTTTCTATCTGTCTTTTCTATCTCAACAGTTACAAGAAGATTCTTATTTTCCTATACCAATTTTGTTCAAACACAGATTTTTAAGAGATAAACATAAAACATAGTTTAACATTTTCTCATTACCACCTGTTAGGAGTCAGCCAAATCAGATTCTTTCATAACTAGAAAAACTAGCTTTAAACCAGATACTCATTTTCCCCCTGTAACTCACATTTGTCTATTGAATCAGTTACCCAACCTTCTTGTAGAATTTTAAACTTTCTCTTAAGAGTTCTTCGAAAAGCTTTAAAATCTGCAACACGACTATGATCCTTCCCAATGATTACATGAGATACTCCCTCAGCTAAATAAGAAACTACTTTTGCTCCATGAAATCGAAGCTCTAAGGCTGTAATAGCTAATCTTGTTCCCTCAATTTTGCTATTCAAGTCATTAATAACAGTATACAAGTCCAAATAAATAGTGTGGTGTCGAAACATACTGAGGGGAGAGCAGTCCCAGGAATATCGGTATTCTAAATCAGCAATCACAGAAGCCATTTCTTCAGGAGTCTGTTCACTAGGACTTTTAATTCCCATGAACACTTCCTTCAGTTGGTTCAAATCTGTATCAGTGAAATAACTATCACCATAACAATCATATTCACGGGCAAAATGTTGTTTTGTTGATGGGCACATATGAATCATAAAATGAGGCTGCCATGGCACACAGCTTTCGGTCTTAAAACATTCCAGCAGCCACTCAGGCTTGACAACATCATGTTTATTTGAAGAAATTATGTTTTTCACTCTTATGTTCTCAGACCCTGCAATAACGCAGTAGGTGTCTGGGCCTGGATTTTGTACTATATAACCACCAAATTCTGCAATTCTGTTCTCCAGATCAGGCTTTGAATGGCTACTTATTCCACTCATAACACAAAATTCCACATCTTCAAATATATTGGAAACTTTGTTTATGTTAGAAAGGTTAGGTGCTTTTAAGTGCTCGATAATTCCAATAACTTTCTTAATCTTTGGGGCAGCTTTCCGCTTTTTTTCTTGTGGTTCATCATCACCACCAACAAAAAAGTGTTTAGATGCAAGCTTTCCAGATGCTTTCCCTCGAAGTTGTTCTAAGTCATCCAGCGTCATGCATTCATGCCACTCTTTGTCTTCTCTTATCTTCTCAATTCGTGGAAAACGCAAAGTGCAGCCAGTTTTATACATATCACTGGGAACAATCTCTGTTGCTTTAATCTGAACAATGACAGAATTACAAGGTTCAATGTACACTTCTGGTTTCTCCGTTCCACATAAGATGCTACTTGGTGGAGCCTTTTTATGAAAAGGTTTCCAATGTTTGGACAACTTCAAACCCAGATCATACAGTTCTTTCATGGTGTAACCTGAGCCAACACGACAAAGAGTATGAAACACTGATGGTTTTTCACCAGAAGAGGGCTTCTCTGCTACAGCACACAAAAAATGAGACATCATTCCACCACGTGAACCTTTACCCCAGTAGCCCCCAACAATTATGATGTCCAGTTCATCCATCAATCCATCTACATACTCTGGCTTGATTTTTAACCATCCTTCACCTCTTTTGTCTGGCTTATAAATGGATAGAGGATGTTTTATCATGATTCCCTCTTCTCTTTTATCTATTGCTTCATTCAGAGCATCAATTACTTCTTTATTAGTATGAGCCTGTGTTTTCTGCACTATTTCTATTCTACCTGGTATTGGTGTAAAAATACTACTAAGAATTTCATACCTCTTTTTCAGGGTTTCATGTCCTAGCTTTTTATTATTGACCATCAATACATCAAAAACACAATAACAAGTCTGCAGATCAGAATATTCTACCATTCTTTTAATATCAAACTTATTTCCCTTTTGCATAAAAGTTTGGGTATTAGGATTGTAGGCCATCATCTCACCATCAAGGATACACATTTGTATATCTGTTTTGAATGCATTATGAATGAATGGTGTAAGAGAACCCTCCTGAGAAGAAGTACCAAACTGATCTGTATATTTATACCCATTTCGTGAGAAGTATTCATATATATCACCATCTTTGTGCATTTGCATACGTTCACCATCTAGCTTGGTTTCAATGTAGAAACTCTGGTTTTTCATGTCCTTCTCAATTCGCTCAATATCTGCTATTGCGGCTAACATTGGCTTAAAGGGAGAGAATAAAGTGATGGAAATATCACTGAGTCCTACTGAAGGATCGTGCAGTTGCCTACAGACTTTCTCCAGATCTGTGGTGACATTATGCAACTCAGCAGCATCATTATGAAAAATGGAAAATACAGTTTGCTGACTAACACCAAGCTTTAAGTCTTTTACAATCATCCGTATAAGCCACTTTTGTTCAAGTGCTGAACACTTACTTATAAGGTGAAGAAAACTCTTCTTTACTAAGTCCTTTCTTCTGGCAGTATTATTGCGAGCAATTGAGTCTAAAATGTCATTTACTTGCTGTATGGTTAATTGTCCTTTCTGTAAACATCTTGGTTTCAACACAAAATATGCAATCATTGCAAAGTCTCCAGCATCTCCACGAGTTCCAGTAGGTGTTCTGTAATTTAGAAGTTTAAGAGCATCTTTTCCTCCTCTAGGTAAATTGAGCAATTCTATATAAAGCTTAGCAAGCATAGTTTCTTTGATCCCATAGGCCTCTCTCTCTCTTTCTAGCTGAGGAAGAATAAGTCTCATTGCTGGATAAAAAGAGTCTGTGACATCATTTTGGTTCTTATGTAGGGCATCGTGAAATTTCCTCCAAGAATCTAAAAATTCCCTGAAGTATCTGATTTTATCTGCACGTCCTTTACTTCTCTGTATTCGTTCTAAAGTTGAACATAAATCTGCAAAAGGAACGTGAGATGCAACAGTTTGTGAGGTTTGTGAGGCAGCCATAGCAGCGATGCTGAATCCTCTGGTTCAACTAATAAAACAGAAAGAGAGTAACTTTAAGTAAAAGATGAAATTCAACTAATTATTTAATATAACGACCTTACAGAACATCTGGTTCATAATATTTGCTAAATGAAAATCAATCAATGCTATAAATGCTACAATGCTATCAATTTCTACATTTAATAATAATCATCTAATTTACTTTAATTCTATTTAACCTTCATTATCAAAAATAGTCTCATTCCATGTATTTACAACATTAAAATTAACCATTTTAATTCTTTCTCCCTAAAGTACAGCTTCTATTAAAATCAGTTATTCCATTCCTTGTTTACTGTAATGCAAAAGATGATTGTTAATATTGAAAACAACAGATTAAGGCTCAATTCACTATATCTGGGCTTCTGAAGTAAGGCATTTCCTTATATTTCTCTTCTCTGTCAGACACAGAATCAGAAACAAGCTTCTTAAAAGAGATGTTTTCAACAAATCATAGGCTTATTGAATTGAAATTTGGCTTTGTAGGAAGTTGGAGCTCCTACATAGACAGGGCCCTTCACCCCCCCCCCCACAAAAATGGTATCTTCTTCTTTCAGATTAACAAAGCCTATATCTTTGTTTACTTCTACTTCTTCACTGTTAGTTATGTTGAATCACTCCAGAATCTAAAACCCAACTCAAAATACCCTCCTCCTAAAATCCTCACTTGACCTGTCTTTTAACTCTGTATTTGATCATAGTTATTTACAATTTTATAAATTTAAATTCATTAGTAAACTTTTTTGTTTATATTCCCTGACAATTACCACCCAGCCCCACCCCTAACCCAAACATTCATTAACAGCACATGAACCAGGCACTGTGCTCTGGGCATACGCACTATGGAGCTGCCCTAAGACAGGACACAGCCTGTAAAGAAAAAGAGACATAATGGTGTGGACAAAAAGAGGCCACATACGAAACCTGACAAGCTCAGAGGAGGCTTCTGTGGTGGATTTACAAACTCAGAGACCTAAAGAAACCACATAGGATGGTCTGAAATGAAAACTTCTTAACTGAAAGCAGTTCAGGGTAGGTAGTCATGTCCTAAGGCAGTAGTTTTCCCTGAAAAAGGTGAATCTTCACCTTAACTAAGCCTGTCTGTTGTCTTTTTACATGTAGGATTACATACCTGGTAAACATGGCTTTGTAATAACCAAATAAGTTCCCTTTTTCCAGATCCCCCTCATAGCTCAAGTGGGAAGACCACAAATCCCCTCAATGTTATCAAATTATGGACTGTTAACTATCCTGTATCCACCTATGTAAAAAAAGTGTGCGTATATCATTTTACTTTTTATCCAATCCTAGAGGTTCTACCTTCTTTCTCTTGCTTCCTTAATCTATCACCAATGGATTTCATGTATCCCTCTTATGTTTTATCTTTTGATTATAATGTATAAATAAGGTGCAAAACTATAGGGAACCTATCTGAATGGCATGGGGAATGCAGCCCAGCCCCTGACTTGGAACACTGGCGGAGAGAGAGTCAGCACACAGGACCAGAGCCCATGGATCGGTTCTCCCATGGGGAATCAGGCCTCCATTGTACCTAGGCTTCTTTGAGGCTTGCTTTTTGCTAAAACTCCCTCACCCTGCATTGAGGCAGCAAATGTTTACTGCATATCTTTAAAGTAACTTCCTAAAATCTGTGCTAAATCTCCCAGGTATGGAGTGTAACTAGTTCAACCACTTTTCCCCTTGCATCTGCCACATTTTTTTCTTTGAAGTAATTAGCAACATTTTTTGTTTTTTAGCTGTAAAAGGCAATCACCTACAGGGAGCCTGTGCATAGTAAAGGAGGACCATTCCTCCATGTAACACACCCAGAAAAGCAATAAAAGCCTGCCTGGGCAGGGGTCAGGGCCCTCTCTCACTTAGAGAGTGGCCATTCTGTCCCTTTTTCTCCACAGGACTTCTGTAGTCCATGTGAATTTGTTCACTGCAGCCACAATACACGGACCCCGTGGGCTGGGGTCCACATCACCAACCTACCATTTTTCTGCAGCATTTTATCAATTCACTGAGGTTTTGCTTCCTGGAAACTGTCAGTTTGGCTCAAATAAACTCATAAAAATTCTTATGGGTTTGGATGTTTCTTGCATTGACAATGGGAACTAGTTAAAAATGGTAAGTTCTTTAACAAAAACAAAAACAGCAAAATGTCATGACACAAAGCTTTTCAGTGAATATCTTCTAAAGTTAGAGACAAAACAACATGTAGTTTCATGTGCTAAGGTCTAGAATATTTGCCAAAACAGTCACAAGAAGTGTGAAATTTATTTGACATTTTAAATACTCATGCAAGTTCTATTAGAATCTACAAGGTATCAGTTCAGAACTACTTTAATATACAGTAAACTATGTAACACTAACTTTTCAAAGAGACTTCAAGTAAAAATGTGATCTCCAGGAACAGACTTTGTTTTTACCTTGTGGTTTCAGATGCCTCCTGGCATATCCCATGTAGCCCAAGGAGCCCAGAGCAGAGAATGGGGGAATCTGCTATAGTGGAGAGACCACAAAATTCCCCACTCTAGCAAAGAAAAACAACTGTATATACTATTAGTACAAGGCTACAATATCTAGCACAGAAATGGAGTGGCTCACTACTGTACCACATTTACTAAACTGTTACTCTCTAGAAGTCAGAGCATGATGTTGGAATTTGTGCCACTAGTGATTGGCGAGACAGGTTTGTTTGCTGAATGAGTTACTAAATACCTAGAGTTGAATTTGTGGGAAACCACACTAGAGAATGCCAGGGGAGGGAGAAAGGGACAGACACACACACACACAGAGACATGGCTGTGGGCATTCAGTTTGATTAAAAGCATTCAGTAACTATGACTGCCCTGGGAAAGATTCACAATAACCACTGGTTGGCCTAGAGGGGGAAAAGCCACATTTTTCAATCTAATTCCTAAAAAAAAAAAAAAAATCCCACTTCTACTGAGTCAGTTAGACCAAAAGATAAACTCATGAGACTGTATTCTTAAGATTTTTATCTTTGAATATAGTAACAGTTTCCCCTCACTGTCTCTCATTTGCATAACTGAATGCACCACCTGGTTATGTATGTTCACTGTCTCACCCCTCCAAAGCATATTCTGGTATCTAATGTTATTTTTATAATTTACGTAATGCATGTTAAAATAAGTATGTGAAGAAATACTTCTTTAAGTGTTCAAGTATTGGTATTTAGTTTCAACCTATCTGTAGACTCTATATGGTCTCAAAGTCAGTTTCCCTCAACAAGTCCCAGGCAAATACTCAAATAATTTCATACTAATGTTGAAATCTAGTTATGGGTGTAGATACACATGCAGGTAAGACTGCTATATAGATAACAGGATTCCAAAATTAATATAACATGAACAGACTTAAATACTTTTACTTATTTAAAGTGTATTTTGATACAATATTAAGGTTTCCACTGCCCTGGCTGAGTAGCTCTGTTGGTTGGACCACTAACCTGATGCACTAGGTTTGGGTTTTATTCCCAGTAAAGAATCATCCAATGAATGCATAAGTGGAACAACAAATCGATGTTTCTTTCTCCCTCTCTCTAAAATCAATTTTAAAAAAGATTTCCACTGCTTTTTACATGATCTTTAATTTTATTTTCTGGATTCTGGGGTGTTTTTAGCTGAAGTTTTCAATTTGTGAAAAAATAAAGCAAGGTTTGTGGTCAGGGCACAGGATCTGAAGTCCAATAAGTATGAGTTCAACTGTGGACTCTAACACTTAATGGCTATGTGATACGTGGCAACTATTCAATTTCTTGCACTCAGTTTCCTTAAGGGTAAAATGGGGTTAATAACTACAGAAATTAAGATAAGAATGACATCAGATAATTTACTTAAGGTGCTTAGCACAGTACCTAACATTTAGTAAGTTCTTGATAAACTTTATAACTATAATGCTTGCTGATCCAAGCAATACTTAGAAAATAAATATTACAAAACACTAAGCAGATAAGGGGGACACTTCAATTTTCTGTAACAATAAAAGCTTTCAAGAGAATGAATATAATTAATTAGTACACAATAATGACTTATCCATTCAGCTGCTGCCTATATTGTCCTGAAGCGACATAACAAAACACACCAGGAAGCTTGTGAATATAGGAGATGATTTAAAGCTATCTTATTGGAGAGAAAGTGGTACAACTGAAGCTCCTTCCTGCAACCCCAGATGAGATTATGTGCTTCTTCCCCATGAGACAAAGCGTTTACACTACCTTATCTTCCACAGCACTTTCTGACATTTGGGGAGAATCAGCAGAAAAAAATCAGAGGTAAGAAAAAGCCTGAAGCCTGAGGGAGCCAGTATGTTAACGAAAAAACAAAGTGTTAGAAAAGGAACAAAGCAGTAATTCTCTCCAAGCCTATGTCTCTCCTTTTAACTCCACCGGTGAACGCCTGCAAAATCACTGAAGCCGTCCACATCACTCCTCTGCCCCCAAACAAAACCTCCAATGGATCACTGGTGAATCCCTGGCCCTAGACAAACCCCATTTCCTCTCTGAGCCCAAGGGTGCCCTTTTGAGGGAGGGGTGTTCCTCGGAATCAGAATGCATACAATTAAAACCACCAACAGTTCTTGAGCGACAAACGTCTCCGGGCATGGGGTCTAGTTTGAACCCGAACCAAAGACTCAGCTTCTAACACAGCGCGGTCACCAGTGCGCTCCGTACTACTCACCTCTGGATTCAGAGGGCGGTTGAACTCACGAACTTTGGGTCCAGGAACAACAAAAATGAACTTTTTAAGCATTTGTTGGCTCCTGCTGCTTTGGGAACTCTTGCCCAGCTTCCGCCTGCCCAGACTTCAGCTATGGATCGCTCGGTGCACTCTGAGGCCCCTCCCGGGCCGGGCTGCCCCACAAACCTCCTACAAGACACGAATACTGAGGTGCCTCCACCAAACCTGAACCCGAAGCCTAAAGAGCCTGTTCCGCCAGCTGCTCAAGGCGCAGGTGCTGTAGCCCCTAGTGGCGGGGGAAACCATGACGTTAGGAAAAGGATGTGCGCCGGCGCAGTTCCGTCTGAAGGCTGGGAAAGCCGAGGCGTAGGAATTCTGCGCGCAGGCGTAGTGACTCTCGCGAAGGGTCCTGGAAGAACCAGGCACCTCGCAAAGGTGTGGAGAACCTGAGAGATCCCTGGTAGCACTGTAACTACAAACCCAGCTCCTAATAGCCTCCCAAAGCAGCGGGTGCTTTTTTCAAGAGGTTGACGCATGAGAGTTGATTTCGTCGCTGAGTGAGACCCAAGAACATTTCACTCACTGGCTCCTTACTTAGACGGTGAATGAGCCTGATCCCTCCCTGTCTTTGTCGCTCCTTAGCAAGGGACAGCCACTCAGTTCTGTTCCATGTTTGTGAACAGTGGTACCAATACTTATCTCGCAGGTTGATTGTGAAAGCGCAGGTTGAAGAGGGCATTTTCCATTCCAAAACATCTGTTGTTATTTAAATGGAAAAATTGGCTTTTGCAATATTGTTTAAGGCTGTTCATTCCTACTAGTTTTTCATGATGGCACAACTTTGAACTTTGAGTTCTTGTCTCTTAATACAGAAATACATAATTCATATGTAATTGTAATTAATTCATAATACAGACACAAAGAGCTGCGTGCCCAGAAATCAGCTATGGACTCTTGCAGTATCTGTTCCAGGATTCAAAAAGTTATTAGGCAAACCTTTATTGAGCACCTACTGTGATAGAGTAATTGCCCTAGATATGCAGGACTGAAACATGAAAACAAACTCAGTCCTTATGTTTCAGGATTGTTGATTTATACAATATTTTATTATTTTAGCCTTGCTCATGCTTGGTTCAAAAAGAATCAAGAGTTTCTAATTAAGCATCTTGTAGCGTTGCTGTGATTATTAGTTTACTTATGTAAACAGTCTACCCTAGTGCCTGGCACTTATTAGGTGCTCAACGACAGGAAGCTTTTATCAAGAGCCTGGCTTTGTCCTATAGCTCTTGATCTGGTAGCAGAAATCAACGTATTCTGTATACATAAAAATGTGTGCACAGAAGAGGGGATGACCCAGTGATGGAGGGGTCAGGCATCTGAAAATAAACAATCCAGTACAATTAAGTGCGAGGGTGTCAGTGAAGCTAATAAAGCTTCAACTTCAAGAGCCCAATTGTGTAGTCACTTCCAAGGCGCTGAGAGTGGCCCTAGCAATGCTCCCTTGGTCTTGTACTTTAGCAAAATCTGAAAAATAAGATAATTTTGCATTCTTTTTCTTTAAAAGAGCCCCCTAGTTCTTGCAAGGTTCAGGCCTCACAAAATCTAAATCTGCCGCCTTGATCGTCCATTCTGACAGAGGTAGGAGTGGGATGGTTTGACAGGAAACAAAAAGAGAAAAATAGTTATGGAAGCACTTTAAAGTACAGGAACTCCTATACTAACAATCCTATACAGCAGACACTCCTTTTGTACGAACTGCGTCCAGCAGAGAGATCTAGTGGGCTTCAAGCTCTCACCTTAGAGGCGCAGGACACTTGGCGGAAAGCCACAAAGTACCCTGCCCCACCTCCAACCGGCGCCCCGGGCTTGGACGGGACTGCGGGAATCACACTAGTAGCGGCGGTGGTTCGGGCACTCAGCTATCTTGTCCCACTCGGCCACCGTTCGGACGCCGGCCTCCTGTCTGCGCATGCCCAGAGGGGGAACCAAGTTCCCACTACTGGGGAAGAGGCGAGAGCAGGTACTGTGGAAGTCGGCGGGGGTATTTGCTCGCGACACCGAGTGTGGGCCGGAAGTGGAGGAGTCTAGAGTGGCTCCGCTGGACCTCCAGGCTAGACTGAGGCAGTGCGACAGCCCCTTGGCTGGAAGACGACGATGAGGAGCAACGGAAGCGGCAAGGGGGGACGCTGCTACGCGGCACCGGGTTGCGTGGCCGCAGTAGACTGCGCAGTTTGCGAGCAGGTCTAAGTAAGTGCGGTGCAGTTCGCCCGAGCTGTGGGGTCCGTTTTTTCCAGAGGGGTCGTAGGGGTCGTGAAGGGTGGCTGGCAGGGGCTTCACTGGTTCCCTGGTGCCGAACCACCTCGCGAGGAGTGTAGGGCTGCGCGCCCAGGGCCGTGCAGGACCTGTGCCCCCCCGCGCCGCCCCGGAAGAAGCCCAGTCTGCAGCCTTGCGGGTGGCAAGTAAAAGCCCAAACGAACGCCCTTGTGGAGACTGAGGCGCACAGATTACCGGAGGCCCTCCGGTGCCCTGCTGGGACTTGTTGCTTAGAACATATCTTAGAGTCAGTGGTCAGTGGTATTTCGAGCAACGTGTACAAACCAGTACCTAGAAATTATCCCCACCCCCCACCGCCTCGCACTATCATACACACGAAAAGTGAAACAAAAATCCCAGCTTCTAGGTCTGAGGCATGTTGTAGCCCCGGTCCATTCATGCCATTAAAAGGTTTACACGTTCAGATATCATAGCCGGAAGTTTGGGGTGTTTTCAGAAACAGCAAGAGAGCACCCCCATACAATTGAAGTCCATTTCGTTGTAGGTTTTTGTGAATCTTTATTTTCTGAAAAATGCGTTACTAGTGTTACCCCCTAGGTACCATAACCAAGAACAAGGCTTTTATTCTTCAGCTTTGGCATTTGTTTACCATGTAATAGTAACGGAAGAGTAATACACAAGAGGATATGGACTTTAAGGGTTTTTTGTTGTTGTTTTTTTATTCATTGATTTGAGAGAGAGGAAGAGAGAGACACACAGACAGAGGCATTAACTAGTTCCATTCATTGGTTGTTTCTTATACGTGCCCTGACTGGGAATCAAGGTCTAACCCCTGAGCACCTGGCCAGGTCTGGGTTTAAGTTTTGATGTTTGATTTTTACTGATCCTCTCTTTGTTTCTTTTGGCATGGATTAAATCATATTTGTGTGCATGCTTAATCTGTCTTTTACTGTAGGTTAAATTTTATTCCACTAAATTAGAATTTGTGACTGTCCGTCAAGTGTTATGTCATAATTATACTACTTAAAACACAGACTGTACAATTCGATAGTTGTTATAGAAACTTACTGTGAGCCAGACATTGCTACCTACTGAAAACACAGTGTTGAATTAGATGAAGTCATGGTCATCAAGGAACTCAGAGTTTATGGAAAGCCAATGAGTTAACAATACAGTAGTAAGTGCCACCACATCAATTTGTACAAACTGCGGAATATGGAATGATTGGCAGTAAGGAATAGAGGCCCAGGGAAGGTTTTATGAAGTAGCTGCTACCTGACCTGCGTTTTGAAAGAAAAATAAAACATTGTTTTAATTATTCCCTGTGTGCAAATGCTCATTGAGTTTTATCCATAATTTAATCCAAGTCAAACAGACCTTCTAGTTGTACTTAATTTCACTTACTCTGTTCTGACAGACAGTACCTTAAATTTAGCCTCATGGAAGTAGTTACATTTATTAGTACTATGTGTTACATTTCTACTCAGCAGTTTTACAATTACCTGTTTCATCCCCTTTTTATATACGAGGAAACATATTTAGAGAGGTAGAGTTGGCAAAAGCCACCTGGCTATTAACTGACCAAACCCCAAAACACTCTCCACTGCACCACGCTGCCTCCTATTGATAGCTAATTTGAAATGATGAAATCAGGCCAGTTTATGAATATCTGTACATGCAGATCTTGGCACACCACCTGCCTTCTCAGGCACAACTCAGGCCCCTTGCCTCCTGAGGATACTTTCTTGCGTCCTGGGTTAATGATGTAACTTAGTGGTGGTTACAAGAAACTTCTTAACCCAACATTTTTGTATGATTTTCCGTCTCTTGTCACTTAATCCCAGGGAAATCTATTTCTCTGTTTTTCATTAATTTAGAACTCTGTTACTAAGAGATTCTAAAAATTTTCTAATTCTTATTTAGTTACCTCAGGAATGTGTGAGGCCTTTATAAATCCATTTTAGAATACTGTAAAGAAGGTTTTGGTTCTTCTAATTATTCTAATTAAAATTTTACCCTCAGTGATAGGCTTTTAATAAGTTACTACATTTTACGTTACTGTTTCATATAGGTGTTAACTCCTTTAGCAGTACATTCTACTAGAATTGTAAAGTTGTAGTATTTCCAGAGCATGAACTGGAATTTCATGCATTTATGAGCTTGCCTGAGAGTCTTACTTCTGCAACACTGATTTTATTGAAACTTATTGAAATAAGTTTCATCCATGTACTTCATAGTAAAATATTTAAAACAGTACCCCTTTGTAAGTAGGAAACTTCTCGAATTTCATTGTCTTAATTTGAACATCTGTTTTGAGTTAATGGCCTTGTAGATTATTTTCTACCATTTTATTTCTTACAGATATTTATAATCTTCAAGTAAATTATGATTGGCTTACTTAATGACAATAATCTGTCATCCTTTTTCTATCACAGTTGAGGACCAAGTCTTCCATGCTTCAGGGGAAGGGGAAAGCCCAAAAATGCTATGTTACTGCCTAGTGTAATGTTTGATGTGATCTGCCCAAACAGATTCAAATCCCAGTTTAAAATGCTCACTGAATGATTCAATTACTATCCAACATCTCCACAGGCAGTTATTGTTCATTTGTCCCATAGGACTATTAATACATACTTTTTCATTATTGATGACATGTGGGTAACCATTAGGGAAATAGATAATTCATTCTGTGGTGTCTCCAACACACTGACTGATAGCTATTTGTGTTTCCATTTCAGTTGTGCAGCTGGCATGGTTTCTTAACTTCCCAGTGCTTAGCAGAAAAGAAGATATTTTCAGGCAGGAAGGCTGAATATTTAGTTCTTAACGAACACGATGAGATACTCATTCTTCACTTCTGATGTAGCTGTTAGCAGTGACAGGTGAATTTGCTTTCTTTTTACAGTCTTCACATGAACCTACACATTGTTCTATTACTTGTAGGTATGTTTTTTAATGTATGAGCAATTTTTATTTTTAAACAAGCTGTTCCTAAAATTATTAATTTGAGATGGACTTTAAGGGTCTTTAAAAGTAATAATAGTTCACTTATGACTTAGGACATTTTTCTTTTATTTATACTTGATTAACCTTTAGTCAAATTGTTTTTGGGGAATTAATGTTTAACTCATGTATAGGTAAAACATTTTGTTGTTTTCAGAAAACTTTTACTATTGGCAGAATTGGTAAATCAGTATACACTGTGCAGTACAATGTACACTTTTGCAATTAAAAAATAATTAGAATAGTTAGCATCTATCTTTTTTGGTGAGACAGTTTTTAGCTTCATTAAAATATAATTTTATCTGTGGTTGAAGAATAACATTTGTCTGATTTATTCTGCCAGTTATTGGAGCAATAATAATTGGAATGCACCGTTACTGTAGTTTGAGTTTTGGTTCTTGATATATTTATTGTTTTTTATTTTAATTTTTTTGTATAAAGTATTGCTGGGCAAAGTGATCTGCATAGATTACCAGCGTCAGAGAGAGCAGTAAAATTCTTTGGTGTGGAGAAGGTTGAGGGTGGTTGTTACTCTAGACTTGTAATTAATCTTTAATGTATTGTTTGCCATCATTTACTTTTTATTGGAGTGAATAACCTGAGTCCTATTGACAAAGCACTGAAAAAACACTGCTGAGTTCCTGGAAAATCATGACAGTTCCTTGTATACTTACTTCCTGGCTTTTCTGTCTCCCCTCATGTTAATAATACACTCCTAAAACATACTGTGTCTGTTGTCCTACATAAAGATTGTTTAGCCAGGGTTATTCTCTACAACTTTAACTACCTGTATGCTGTTTAAAAATGTTACTTTGATGATAGTGATCTGGAAGAAGACTGAAAATGTATGATAAATAAAATATTTTATAAACCTCAGTCGAAATACAAAATTAACACATCTTTGTTCATCAGAGATTTCTGGAGATGGGTTTTTAATCTTGGGTGCATTCTTAATGTCTTGGTAACTTTTTAGTTACTGTTAGAAGTCACATAACCAGGGCTCTCAATCTTCTACAGTACTATTTAGTAAAGATATTATTATTTATAATCCAATGCCTTTTTCCAACTCTACCTTTTATTTTTTTATCATCTGTAAAATATAATTTGTGAGGCTTTAGGTTATTCAGATAACTTCTTCCTTTTACAAGTGTAGACATTTAGATCCAAAGTAAAAAAGTGATATATATGCAAAGATATCCCTTCAAAATCGGACATCATATTTAAATATGGACTTGGGTAGTGATCTAAGAGTATAGGGTGCAGGACTCACTGGATTAAATCCTCACTCAGGGCATAGCCCAGGGTGAAAGGTACTCTCTTCAGAGTTTCTTGTCTGTCTTATAGTTATGATCTTTAAGAACCTTAGGTCTTTTTATTAAATTTACTTTTTTTCTCTTTTAGCATCTAGCAAACTTTAGTAACCTATGTATATTAAATGAACAAAAGATTTAATATAGTGCATCATTCTGAATTTGAAGGAAACAAGTGTCTGGGGGGAAGGCAATAAGGTTATATGGTATGCAGCATAGAACTAGCTTGATCAAACTTCATAAAAAGGATTTTATTTATTTATTTTTAGAGATGGGGGAAGAGAGGGATAGAAATACCTATATGAGGAAGAAACATTGATTAGTTGCCTCTCACTCATACCCTGAGCAGGGACCAAACCCCCAGCCCAAGCATGTGCCCTGACCTGGAATCAAACAGCTGACCTTCTGGTTTGTAGGATGACGCCTAGCCAACTGAGCCACACCGGTCAGGGCTAGTTATCAAACATTTTGTTCTCAGAACCCCTTTACATTTTCTGATCCTCTTTACATTTTTAAAAATTACTGAGGACTCAGGAGTTTCTATACATGTGGACTAAATACAGAGGTATTTACTGTGTTAGAAATTAAAACTGGGAATTTTCAAAATTAAACTTTGTCATTTTAAAATAACAGTAAAAACTCTGCTACATAACATAATAGTGTTTTTTTTAAAACAAGTTGTTTTTGGAAAAAATTAGCAAGGAATATGTCACTGTTTTACATTTTTGTAAATATCTTTAATGTTTGCTTAATAGAAGACAGGCAAATTTTAATGTTTCATTCTCATAAATTGTTTTTAATTAAACACGTGAAAAAAACAGGCCCACACAAATTTGTAGTTGTAAAAGGAGTATTTTTATAGTTTTTTCAGATAATTATGGATATTCTTTGATACTACAATATTAAACAGGTGGTAGTTTCTTAAAGGTCAGTTACATTATGGAATCTGAAACCCGTATCAAAGAATTTTTTGTCTCTGTTACATTAATATTTTTTGACCCATGCTTGATTTTGTGACACCATTCATTGGTCATTTGGAAAATATTAGTTTTGCTATGTTGAGCCAATTATTGCGAATGTTGACACATTTAATAAGTTATCAAAAATCTCATTTGTTTGTTACACCATGACAGTTCTACCAGAAAAGTGTCTAAGTTATGGGAAGCTATTGGCAACTTCATTTATTTTCCAGAAAAATGTCTGCCAAACACCTAAGTTTGAGTAACCAGTTTGTTAATTTTCTTTTTAAGTCAAAATGGTACAACAAAAAAAAGCAGCTAGCTCAGCTCACACCTAGTACTTTATGTGTCCTCCCCATTTTGTAAGACATTTTTCCACAAAATGTAATTATAACTGTGTCTTCAGTGACATTCATAAGTAAAAACTGATTTTCACTTCTCCCCCCACACTTTCCTGGAGTGCATGGTGATAATACAATGACTTACACAGTCCGGTGCCACTACCATTCTGCTAAGGCACCAGTAGTTTTACCCCCCACTGGTTTTATACCACTAGTACAAATGTCAAGAAATGAAAAGGCAAATATTATTTTAGTATGATCATAATATTAATCTCTCAGATCTTTTGAAAGGGTCTTGGGGACCCTCAAGAGTCTGCAGCTACTTTTTGAGAACCACTGGGATGGAAAGATCTCAGTTTATAAAGTTTATCCAGTTCAACTGCTCTGATTTTCTTTATACTTGTCCTTGCCGGGTATTTATTTAGATTACACTTGAATACCTCTAGTTTCTTTGAGCTGTTGTGCTAAATGAATAAAAATGTGTCATAGACAGCTGTTTGATGGAAAGTAAAAGAAATTCTTAACCCTAGCATTGTACTTTGTCCTGTTTTTAAAAAGTTTGCATGAATTTCCACTTGATTTCTATGAGTAATCAAGCATGATGAAATCTAGATATTATTAAACTTACATTATAAAGGAAACATAGTTAAGGTTTTATTCTTCCTATATTTAAGGACAATTGTGACTTTCTTTGATTTTCTTTGTGTCATCTATAATTAAGTAAACTTACATTAGATATATGTAGTTGTATATGTCCATGTCTGGTTTCCTGAGTAGGGCATGAGTTCCTTAAAATGTACTGAGTAACTTATGAGGTACTTAAGAACAGGGACTGTACATTTATAATTTTGAAGTAGTTTATAGTGCCTAGGTACTATGATTCCACATAGCAAGTATCCACACATATTTGTAGCATGTAACATTGTCTTTAATCTTTAAATAGTATGGTAGAATGAATTGGAATCTTATGAGGCTTGGAAGCCAACCCTGGGACCACTTCACTCGTCCAGTCTACATTTGAGAACTCTCTGGAGACTTGTGGTTATGTTTGTGGTAATGTCCTGAGAATTCATACCATTGTAGTTGTGCATAACTTTGGTATTGACCTCTTTTTTTTAATCATTAGCTTATAGAATAGTTATTTAAATATTTTCCCTAAGAACTGGAACCATTTGAGATCCTCCAACTACATATATGAGGTAATTAAGATGAGTATGCCCATCATGCAGTTGACTCATCAGTCAGTTAACACTAGTCAACATGGTTCTGAGAGCTTCACAGCTTTAAATTGTTTTTTATTTTTAGTTATTTTATTTTATTTTTATTTTTTTTAATTTTATTTTTTATTATTTTTATACAGAGGGGAAGAGAAGGAGAAAGGGAAAGAGAGAAACATCAATGTGTGGTTGCCTCTCACATGCCTCCTACTGGGGATCCAGTCTGCAACCCAGGCATGTACCCTAAATGGGAATTGAACCAGCAACCCTTTGGTTCACAGACCTGCACTCAATCCACTGAGCCACACCAGCCAGGGCATATTTTTAGTCTTTAATTAGCTATTACATACCATATTTTTGCTATGTATAATTGCTATGCCCTGTGAATGTGAACCCACATGTGAACCCACATTTTTGTGTGCATTCTGCATGGGATTATTATACCCATGATATGTAATCATTATACCCAGATATAATGCACATCCTTATTTTTCCTTAAAAACTTTGGGCAAAAAGTGCCCATTATACATGGCAAAATATGGAAGACACAATGAGCTAATATTTAGAGACAGGAAACATGGAACAGTAAATGTAAACAAAATAAGTTAATGAAGACCATAAAATTCTCAAGACAATCTTCAGTAGATTTGTAAGTTGCATTCATATGATCAAAGTGCTTATATAGCACATTAATATGATGATTATATTAATCATTTGATTATTCAAAATCATTCTAAAGGAAAACAATTGCAATTATATCTACTTGTCTACACATTATAATAAAAATAAATCATACTTTTAAGAGAGTATTTTTGACAGGTGCTTTAATAATATAAATATGACATCTCTGACCACTTCATCTAAATAAAAAGTGCAAAAATTATTTTTAAGTTTGACTTTAAAATTCAGATATGAGACCTGTGCATGTTAAAATAATGTGCTTATTTTTGATACTGTGACATAATTTTAGTTTGTTATTATATATTGAGACTCAGAATCAAACCTGTGTTTTTAAAAATACTTGTTTACACATGCTTTTTTCATAATTAACATAAAACATGCAAAATATTAGGTGAGGAAGAAGAAGTGGTTAGTTTTGGATAAGTTGGAGTATGTAGGTGGAGTAGACATAAAGAATGGAAATAGTTCATACACAAGTATTATAATTGGAGCCATGAGAGTAAGATGGAAAGAAAGTAAATGGGTAGGACCTTGGTAGGTCAGAGAGAAAAAAACAGGCATTTGAGTATGCTGGAGGCTGAGAAAGAACTAATGTCTGCTGTTGGGTATGGGGTTGCAGTGTGGATTGAGAAAAATCCATTAGTTTTATTAGCAATTGAGGATCGCTTTTTATGAGTGATCATTGTAAGAGCTGAAACATCAGATTCTCAAGATAGTAAGTAGTTACAGAGTTGCTGGGGGCGGTTAAAGTCAGAGATATATGAGTACAGGTTTTAGAGACATTTGACATGTGAGAGCTGGTGTGCTAATATGGCAAAGACAGAAGAAATGATAATGTATTTATTTAAGATATAAGCATAAGGTTAAACATAATAATGTAGAAGAAGTGTGGGAGATGAGAGAATATTGACTGACTAAGATTCTATGCTCTACCAGTTTAATGTTTTTCCCTCTAAGCCATCCTTCTAAGTAGTACAGACTTTGATCAAACTTTGAGTATATGAAATTCACCATTCTTGATTATTTGTGATGCTAAGGTGTTACCAGCAAATGCATTTCAGCATGAAAAAACCTGGTAAATAGTTCATCTTTCCTGGCAACATATTTTATAAATATTTTTGCCACATAGGACATATTTTAAAGGGTAACTAATCACCTTGCTTATTCTGCGTGATTAATAGCAGTAGTCTTGGGTTCAGCTAAGGCATTCATACTCACAGGACCCAATAGACCATACCTAGTACTAGCCTCCCTCTGCTTTGTTGAAAGGTACAGGATAGAAAACCCAGGATATCAGGATCAGGTGTATTCTTCCCAAGTGATAGTTCAGGCTAGTGGAAAGATGACACATGGGTGGGTAACTCCTGACTTAACTGTTTTGTGCTCCAGAAACAATATCTTTTGTAATAGCACATGCACTCAGTGTCCAGGATCCAGTAGAGGGACAGGCCAGTTACAGTTTATGTACCACACAGAAAAGCCACTCTTTATACCTCTCACTTGGCAAGTGTAGCCCTGCTCACTGTCTGCTCAATTCAGATTTAGCTCACTAATAGGGGTCAAGTTTGCTATACAAAATGTTGCTTAGAAACATAGCTGATATCCCGCACCTTTATGAGGTTTCCAGGGAAACCATGCCAGAAGGTTAGCCAGAGGTCATTTTTTTTGTGGAGAGAAAAGGTTTTATTAACATTTTACTCACATTAATTTATTGACAAAATAAATGGAAAACTTGCATACTACTATCTGTAGAATCTTTGGTGGACTGTATCAGAGGCACTATTCATTTACATTGACTGTCATAATATCTGGGTCTATGTAAAGTTGTTTTTACATTTCGGCACATGGCTTCGGTAATTGCACTTTGCTTATAGTTTCAGCAAATTTAGTAAATAAAAATTCTATATTAAGTTTGCTTGTTCTATTTCTCTGTCTCTCTTTTTAAAGATTTTATTTTTTTAGAGAGGAGAAAGGAGAGAGAAAGAGAGGGAGAGAAACATCAATCTGTGGTTGCCTCTTGCACACCCCCTACTGGGGACCTGGCCCACAACCCAGCCATGTGCCCAGGACTAGGTAGGAATCAAACCAGTGACTCTGATTCACAGGCCAGTGCTCAACTACTGAGCCACACCAGCTAGGCTGTTCCATTTCTCTTAAGAACATAGATAAGATAAAGACTAGGTAGTAGAAATTACAGACAAATTGGGTTATGTAAAAATAAGGCAGTCTGTGAGTAGAGGTCTCTTTCCAGACCAGCAGTATGCCATAACGTATTAATGAGAAGACACACAAACACTCCAGAGCAGTGTCCTTACATTGTAATTTTAATTTCGTATTCCTCAAAGTGAATTGGCTTTTATTCTGACTTTCACAGTTTAACAATCCATTGTAAGATTACCTTTGTTTATCACAAAGTCAGTTAAGGTGTCTTCTCAGAAGTGCTTTGTGGAAAACAGCAAGTTGAATAACTTTTTCCTAACCAATAATGGACTCATATTTGCAATTTTTCTGATGTCCACTCTTAAACATATATACCCAGTGCTCAGAATACAGTTATGTTCTCTTAGAAGTCTAATAATTCAAATGTATTACTGAACTGTTTATTTAAAAAACATTTTAGTTTTAAGTATATATAAAATGTGTTACTATCCAGTAGGAAATAACAGTAGTGAAAAAGAGATACACAGTTCCTAGTCTTAATAGCTTCAAATTAAATATTGTATGTTGAAATTAGAAATTAATGAACTACTTAAAAATTATTTTTCAAAATTCGAATAATTGAAAATGTTAACTATATAGATTTAATGTATGTGTGTATGGTTTGAATGTTAAAATATACTTTGTGCAGGCATTAGGAGCTTTATATTTTATCTAGAGTTGCAGTAGTTTTTTTTTAATAATAACTTTGTTTAATTTGAAAACTGAGTCAATTCACTCCTGATTATCTGCGTTGTAAAAGTGCTTTACCATGCACTCTGTATTCAGCTTTCTAGATTATTTTCTTTTCTTAGAGTGGTGTGGTAAATGCTCATGTTGATTTTAATTTGGGCAGAACATGGTTAAGAAATTAGTGGTATAAGCAGAAATACTAGTCACAAAAGCAAATAAAGTTAACATATTTGTAGTATTTATAAATACTTTTTAGACTTCATTTGAGAATACTGACCAGTCTTATATGTAGATATTTTTAAGTTCTCATTCTACAGAGAAAAAAATTTAGACTGGAAATAAATGATAAACCCAAGATTATTCTGCAGATCTATTATAGCACAGACTTTAAGACTGATAGAATTTTAGTGGCTTTTTTTCCTATTGTATCACCAAATAAATGATGTTTGAGTTCATCAGCTCTCTGATACTTCTCACAAATGATTGGCTTGACTATGAAAATGGTAAAATTTTTCACTAAAGAAATATTTTTGAAATAGCACAGTGCTCTAGTATATTTGTATTTTATATCCCAAACCTTGTTAATCCTAATCATTACACAAAATTCTTTTATTTTGATGTATAAGTTTATGCCAATGTATTTTCATATTTCCCACTATAACTTCTGTGTACATGTGAAGATCACTCAGATATTGCTTATACTTAAAAATAATAATAAAATTAAATAAATGTTAAATGAAAAGTGTAAGTGACCAGATGTGTTGTCTAGAAAAAGCAATCGTAAATTGTGAAAGGCCTTTATTCTTCACCTGGAACAAGTATTTAATATTTATTGTAATTGGTTTACTTGGCTGCTGTAGTGCATCCTCTTTCAGTGTGATTTTTAACCAAGTCTGACACCTAGTGCCCCAGGTATTGCTTCCGTAGTTTTGAAGCTTGGGGTTTTGTTTACCTGATATAACTGCTTTTCTCTAGCGTTACAGAGTATTCATTGTAATAAAACTTGCTGCAGCTGGGTGGCAGTGTTGATTTCGGAGAAACTTCAGAAAAGTGCTATGATGTTGGTTTATGTTTACAGTCTTTTGAACAAGAATTCTTATGTCAAAATCTATGCTTAATGAAATAATAGTGAAAATTTGAATCTATTAAATCATCGAATTCGTCTTCCTAGCCAATCTAATTTAACTTGATTCTATGTTTTATTTCAGTGTTTAAACCTAATGATGAACTAAAATGCCACATTTATTAGCTTATGGCATATAGTACAGTTTTATAAATTAGTCATTAGCAATTTATCTGAATAACTTCTTAATGTTAAGTTTTTATTTTATTTTATTTTTTGCTTGTAGAGAGAGAAAATGTTGATTTGAAGTTCTACTAATTTGTACCCTCATTGTTGCTTCTTATATGTAGCCTGACCAGGGATCAAACCGCAATCTTGATGTATCGAGACGATGCTCTAACCACCTGGCCAGGGCCTAATTTAATGTCCTTTAAAACTTGGTAAATATATAAGTAGATGACTACTCTGTAAGAAAAATTATAGCTCATCTCTTGCCTTTTAAAGACGATATGCATAAACTTTTTAAATTGATTAAAAATTTTCTGATAGTTTTTCTATATTGTATTTTTATCATTTATATTTTTCAACAATATTTTTAAAAATTTCTCTCCAATAAATTATTTTCTTCACTTATCTCTGATTCTCAATTAGAATTTCTGTTTCTTTTACACTTATCCTTCAAGTGTTTATGGCCTTATCAGTACAACATATCAATAAATGTTGACTCACTCTGCTATGAAGTTTCAATAAGGACTATATAAAAGATTTCACATTTTATTATATTAGCAATCCAAAATTTCTTTTTAATCAGATGTGAGACAAAAATTATTAAACTTTTTCTTAAAAATAGTATAATATTAGAAAATAGTGGTTAATTTATATAAATTATTTTTTAAGTTTAGCTGTAAAAAGCTCCAAATGGAGAAGAAAATATTCTTTCTTATCCTAGTTTGTTTAACTAGAATTTTTTCTATAACGTGAAAAAGGAAATTGATAATATTATATCAGATTGGTCTTGATAAGTTAGAATCATTTAACTGCCATCTCATTTACAATTCCATCTAAAGGAATAAAACCTAAGAATAAATTTAACCAAGGAGGTGGAGGATCAGTACACTGAAAATTGTAAGACACTAATGAAAGAAATTGAAGAAGACACAGATAAATGGAGAGCTATTCCATGCTCATGGGTTGGAAGAATTAATATTCTTCAAATGTCCATGCTACCCAAAGCAATCTACAGGTTTAATGCAATCCCTATCCAAATTCAGTGGCTTTTTTTTTTTTCACAGAAATAGAACAAATAATCCTAAAATTTCTGTGGAACCCAAAACCCCAAAAAGCCAAACAAATCTTGAGAAAGGAAAACTACATTACAAGACTGTAGTAATCAAAGCAGTATTGCATTGGCATAAAAATAGACACATAAATCAGTGTAGCAGAATCGGAGCCCAGTGATAAACCTAAACATAAGTGGTCAATTAATTTACAACAACAACAAAAGCCATTAATTTACAACAACAAAAATGGGAAAGGACAACCTCCTTGATAAATGGTGTTGGGAAAGATGGATCACTATGTTACCATGCACAAAAATTAACTCAAAATAGATTAAGGACTTTAATGGAGACCTGGAAGTACAGAACTCCTATAAGAAAACATAGCGGTAAGTTCCTTAGTAAAATCTTGGCGATGATTTTTTTGGATCTAACACTAAAAGCAAAGGCAGCAAAAGCAAAAATAAACAAGCAGGACTACATCGAATTAAATAGCTTCTGAACAGCAAAGGAAACCATCAACAAGATGAAAAGGCAACCTTTGAATGGGAGAAAATATTTGCAAATCATATATCTGGTAAGGGTTTTAATCCAAAATATAAAACACAACTTGATAACTTAAAAAATATTAAAAAGGGCAGAAGTTCCAAGTAGACATTTTTTCCAAAGAAGACATAAGGAGGCCAATAGGTACATGAAAACATGCTGAACATCATTAATCATCAAGAAAATGTAAATCAAAACAATGAGATATCACTTTGTACCTGTTAAAACATCTAGTATCAAAAAGACAAGTGTTGGCAAGGATGTGGAGAAAGGGAACCATTGTTCACTGTTGGTGGAAATGTAAATTGGTACAGTCACTATGAAAAACAGTATGGAGGTTCCTCAAAAAATTAAAAACAGGACTACCATGTGATCCGGCGCATTAACTTATTTTTCTATCAAATTGAGACTGCATAAATGAAAGTACTTGGCAGTAAATAAGAACATTAAAAAAACTAAAATAATTTGATGACTATCATAGAAACTGGAGGAAGAAAGACTTTATAACAGAAGGGACAAGGGAAATTAGAGCAGCCAGTTTTGTGGATGGATTGATGTAGGCTTCCAAGGATTCATCTAGTACCATAATATATATCATGGATCTAACTTTAAAATAAGAGATATATGTTGAATTATTGATAATGTCTCTCTCTTTCTCTTTAGGACACTTACAGAGAGCTACCATGGAAAAGTCCTGGATGCTGTGGAACTTTGTTGAAAGATGGCTAATAGCCTTGGCCTCGTGGTCTTGGGCTCTCTGTCGTATTTCTCTCTTACCTTTAATAGTGACTTTTCATCTGTATGGAGGCATTATCTTACTTTTGTTGATATTCATATCAATAGCAGGTATTCTATATAAATTCCAGGATGTATTGCTTTATTTTCCAGAACAGCCATCTTCCTCACGCCTTTATGTCCCCATGCCAACTGGCATTCCACATGAAAATGTTTTCATCAGAACCAAAGATGGAGTACGTTTAAATCTTATTTTGATAAGATACACTGGAGACAATTCACCTTATTCTCCAACCATAATTTATTTTCATGGGAATGCAGGCAACATAGGTCACAGGTTACCAAATGCATTGCTTATGTTGGTTAACCTCAAAGTTAATCTTTTGCTTGTTGATTACCGAGGATATGGAAAAAGCGAAGGAGAAGCAAGTGAAGAAGGACTCTACTTAGACTCTGAAGCTGTGCTAGACTATGTGATGACTAGACCTGACCTTGACAAAACAAAAATTTTTCTTTTTGGTCGTTCCTTGGGAGGAGCAGTGGCTATTCATTTAGCTTCTGAAAATTCACATAGGATTTCAGCTATTATGGTGGAGAACACATTTTTAAGCATACCACATATGGCCAGCACTTTATTTTCGTTCTTTCCAATGCGTTACCTTCCTTTATGGTGCTACAAAAATAAATTTTTGTCCTACAGAAAAATATCTCAGTGCAGAATGCCTTCTCTTTTCATCTCTGGACTCTCTGATCAATTAATTCCACCAGTAATGATGAAGCAACTTTATGAACTCTCCCCATCTCGGACTAAGAGGTTAGCCATTTTTCCTGATGGAACTCATAATGATACATGGCAATGCCAGGGTTACTTCACTAGCCTTGAACAGTTCATCAAAGAAGTAATAAAGAGTCATTCTCCTGAAGAAATGGCAAAAACTTCATCTAATGTGACAATTATATAATGTTTTTCTTTTTGATTAATGCACTATATTTTAATTTGTGCAGAATGATAAAAAATGTTCCTTTCTAGAAGTGTGTTATGTCTGTACTTGTCTGAAGAGTGACATTAAATTTTGAAAGGACTTCAGTGCTCTGTTAAGATGATACAATAGTTTTTTACATTTGGAAAACTGTAACTGTTGGGATTATTTCATACATTTTCATCAAACCTTTCAATGTGGTTATGTGTCCATATCTTTAGTTTAATATGCCAGTATAATATATTCAGAAGTTTCTTGTTGCTAAAGTGATATACTTTATGTGATGCTTAAGATTAATGGCTGGATGTAGAAGGCAAGATGTAAACGAGAAACATTTGGATGTTATTTCTTTAGTAAATACTGGGACAATCATGGTATGCAAACTTAGTTCTGTAACTGCATTTTTCACCTTAAAATAAAATGCATGATATTTTATTTCTTGAATTATGCAATGCAATGTTTTTAATGTAAATAGCACTGGGCATATACTGATGTATATGGTAACCTGGGTTATATCTATTTTTATGTAAATTATTTTGGTTTGGGCAAGAAGTGGAATGGAGGCCTATGTGCAGGTTGCTATTGAATTTTGTTCTGGCAAATGCTGAGATCCGGCTTTTTCTTACAAATAAATGGGACCCCACTTTCCAATATAAATGTACTGTGTTTTGTTAGGTACAATCTGGATCATAGCATGTAAAAATAGAAATTTAGATTTTACTGCAGCTTTGTTGTGCATAGTTGAACTTTTTAACATTTGTAATTTTGGTAGCAGAGAGAAATTTAGCTTCTATTAGTTTCATAAGTCTACAGGTAAACCATTAATGGCAGTCACAATGAAGATTATAAATTAGGAAACCTTATTACATACTTATGCATACTGTTTTACAGAAATCCCCACATTTAATTTTTAAGTCCCAGTATTTAGATACAACTAATCCACTAAAGCCAAGATATCATTTATGGAACTTTCTGAAAAGTTGCAAAAATAAAAGCAAAAAAACAAAACAAAACTATGTTCTTTGGTTTAATGTTGTGGTTATAAAATAGAACTGCAACAAAGGACAATTTTAAGAAGTCTTATTTTCTACATGTATGAATGTGGGGATAAAGGAACTCGAGCTTTTTATCACAAAACCTAGTAACATTTAACTATTCAATGGCTATTAGTAGTATTCAGACACATAGAAAAGTAAGAAAAATCTTACTTTAAGAAACCCTTAAAATGGCAGGATTTACCTAAAAATATATATGTAAACTATGGGGCATAATTGTGCTAAGTTGTTTGAAGCAGTCCTGAAAATTATACATAATTGAGCTCTATACATTGTTATATCTGCATAATATTTTGACTGTGTTTATTGGCTTTGTACAAGCAACTAGAACAGAGAAATAATGGGTCAGTAATTCTGACCTTAATTTAAAAGTCCATGGAGATAGGACTAGAAATACTTTTGCCAAATAACATTCTTCTCATTCACTTTATGTCAGTATTTAGGAAGCAGTAAGTTATAGCAAATATAATTTCTAAAGGATAATGCCTTTTCTATAAATTATTGTTTTAAAAAGTCATGCTTTAAAAAACAAATTTGGTAATGTGTATCATGGAAGGTGTATTTTTATGTATAATTTCACCGCAATTAAAAGCTACTTTTCATCTTGTCAATCATTGCTATGTAGAATGACTGTCCTAAATAGTAATAAAAGGGAAAAAAATGTTAATACAACAAAACGTAGTGTTAGACATGAACTTCACATGGTATACCTTAGACTTGTATCATTCTTTAAGGATTACAGAATACCTTTCTGTATTTTCGTGTTATCATTTACTCTATTATACTATGGAGGAATTTATCAAATAGTTGTAAATATGCTGATGAAGTATAAAAGCTTTTTCTTCATCAGTGTTTTGTTATGCAGCTTTTTTTAATACTCCAGGTTTATAAACAATCTTTATTTTTTTCAATACCAGGACTTCAACATCCATAAAGTACTTGTGTCCCATCCCTTCCTTCTTTATTCTCTTCTTTGGGTCAAAGAGCCTTTCTGCAGCAAAGGAAAGAGGCTGTTTCTAGGGCTGTAGTACATCTTTCTTAATTTCTGTATTTGAGAATGTTTCCTTAGATGGGAAGGAATAGAAAATAAATTCTCACTATGAGAGTCTCTGAAGCCCACGGCATCATTTTTTGAAAGCATGTCTAAGTTTTGGCCAAAGCCTTTGGTGTTAAAATATGAATTCTCAATGAGTTACTTCATTTTGGACTCAGCTTAGTAGGAATAGAAGTGTGTCCATCTTGTGTATTAATTTCTGGTTCACTTGTGCAGGAGCAGCTATAGGAGTTTCTGAATGAGTTTTAAGTTATTAAGCTGCTTTAAATTTGGAAAAACTAGAATGGTTTTAAATATGGCAAGATACTGTTTATTTAGATCAAAATCCATTATTTTAGAAGGGATATTGAGGGGAAATGGCAAAAAGCATCCTAAAAAAGATACTGCAAAATTTATAGCAGTAAAAGAATACTAATAGAATAGAAAGAACTAGAAATGGAAAGATGATGCATTTCTTAAATATAGACCTAGGAAATAATTAACTGATGATATCAGTGAAAAAGAAATATAACTGCAAAACAACATTCAAACAAGACATTTCTAATCAAGTGACTGGACCACCTGATACTGCAACTACCCTATATTTATGCAAGTACTTTGTGTTGATATTTTCATTATGATTTTATTTTCATAAAACTTTGAATTTTATTACAGGGCAGCTTAAATTTATTTTTTTATTATAAACTCTAGACACTTAATAACTACCTAAGTTCCAGCTTTGGTAATCTGGTAATATGTCCCTAGGTTAATTACGTTGTAATATTTCTTAGTGAGAATTCCTACCACCCTGTGCTTTCTTACATTTCTGAAGTTTGAACGATTTGGTTTGAGGTAGGAATAGATTTGTTTGGTAGAATTAAAGAGTGAAGGCCATATTCAACTTTCTGTAACTTATCTTGCAAGTTCAGTGTAAGTTTAGTTTTTATTGAGTCCATTATTTCCTTAAGGTTAGGAGTAAAGAGATAAACTTTTAAAAATGTTGTCTCAGAAGTCATTTTTAAAATTAGGACCTGATTAAGATACACTGAAATCCTTTACTGGCCTATCCCCCTGTTTTTCCCATTATGTTTAACAATAGTTACAGGGAATAACTGTGATAAAAAATTAGTCATATGCTTTTGGTTATCCACTTCAATTTATGTATTTTCATATCACTCAGGTAAAGTTGGAAATGACAGCACAGACATTTATTTTTTTAATAAGGTGGGGAATGAATAGCACTCCTGTTTATATTACCATATATGCACATCATCTAAGCTAATCAAAAATAATATATGCATTTGTATGTTGAAATACATGCAGTAATCCTAATAATAGTCAACACATTTTTGCCAAATGGCACAAATATACCTCCATTTATATTTTGTATCTTAAAAATGTAGTTTAAAAATAAAACTACAGGACACTTTTTTATAAAAAGCACCACATATACATATGTAACAAGGGTAAGTGTATTGTTTCTTAATTTATACAGTTTATGTCAGTACAGCATATACTTAAAATTCAAGTTGTTTTCAACCTGTTGAGGTGCATTCAGGATAAAATAAGTTAATCCAATTTCATAATGTAAATCATACTTTTGCCATATTTTAGTTGAAGCAGTAATAAAAGTGTTACAGCTCAAATGTGAATGTTACGTGTTAACCATGACAAGCAAACATTTACATTTGTTTTTTTACAATAAGTTTCTTTTAAACTTTACTTTCTGTGCTGACATATGCAATAAATTGACACATTAAAAGTTTGATTAATGTCTTAAGATAGTTTGTGTTCATTTTTTTTTAAGATACTGTTTGTTAACCTAAGTTATATGGTAGGGCATTTAAGCTTCCTTAATGGTTAAATAAAATTCCTGAATTTGTACTGAAATTAGTGGATTTTTATTGTAGTAATACTGTGGATAAAAAATAGAAGTTTATGTTCTCTGTTCTCATCCTCTCACATTTAATTTAGGTTAATATTAAATATTTTCATTATATAAATTGCATTTGCTTAATTAAATTAGTGTAGGAACAAATAAGTTTAACTGTTCATAGTTATGTTGCTTTCAGATTTCCTAAAGTGCCTTTTCATGAAGTTTTCAGGTGTTTTTCCCCCATTAGTATTTAGTTAAAGACTTGGGAACATTTTCAAAAAGCCTGATATTCATTCAACCTTTAGAGATTTATGCCTTGCTTGCTTTCGTGTGTGTGTGTGTCTGTGAGTTTTGTTTTTTATTTAATCTCTTCACTATTTTCACCCAGCCTCACAGCACCACTCCATTCTGACAGGTGTCAGTCTGTTCTTTATGAATCTTTAGTTTGCTTTCTTAATAAGAAACTTGTATGTTTGAATAGTGTCAGAACCAGTGAGATAACAGGAAGTGTATGACAAACCTTAAATAGTCCCTGCAAGTAGGGATGAAGAATTCACTTACTGGAGACCGTCTTTCCTTGAGTAGATCTGGTGGTAAGTAGGGTTTCTCATGTCCTTCCTGAAAGATCACCACCTAAGCCCCAAGATAAAGCAGTGTTTCTATTACTGTTTTTTTTTATTATTTTAAAAAGATGATTTCAAATGTACTGAAGTTCATGGACAATTGGATCTGGTTAGAGAATATAACTCCTGTCTTATTAAGGGGAAGGAAGGGAAAAGACGTTTTTTGAATACCTGCAAGTATAAGGCCTAAGTATAGACTATGTTCATGTCATTGAACCCTCACAACAAACCTCTGAGTAGTTTGTAGTCCCATTTAATAATCAATAGGCTCAGAGTGGTTCAGTAACAGGGTCAAGAGCACCCCGAATGGAGGCATAATTTGAATTTGTCTCTAGTTCTAAATGTAGGACTATTTATTGCCTCATTTTCTCAAACAATTTGACAGTTTTTATTTATATCATAATAGATTTAAGATGTTGAAATGGAATTAAAAGTAGACCAGTTCTTTGGGACATCTCCAAAGAACTGGCTATAAATCAAAAAACTATGAATAATCATGCCCTGGCTGGTATGGTTCAGTGGATTGTGTGCTGGCATGTGAACCAAAGGGTTGCTGGTTCAATTTCAAGTCTAGAGCACGTTGCCTGCGTTGTGGCCTAGGTCCCCAGTGGGGGGTGTGTGAGAGGCAACCACAAATTGATGTTTCTCTCTGTCTCTCCCTCCTTTCCCCTCTCTCTATAAGTAAAATCTTAAAAAAACAAAAAAAAATTAGGAATAATCAGAGAACATGTATGAATGACACAGGGACATTGACAATGGTGTGGGGGTTGACTGGGTGCAGGTGGTAAATGAGGCAGAGGAAGGCAAAAGTAAAATTGGGATAAGTAATAGAATAACAGTAAAAATCCAGGAATAGA